AAACAAGAGTTCAAATAAAAGCATGAGAAGTTTTCTTTCTCTGTGCTGTCAGTCCATGTGGAATCAATAACAGATGTGCTTACGGCGGGCTGAACAACGTCAACAAAATTACCATTCAACAAGGCATAAATGCCACGTAACGGTCAGGGCCTTCTGTCGCTGCAGCCACAGCAGCAGAAGACGTCATCGCCCTCCGGCAAGTTTCTAATAATCATTCCTCGTCTCCCGTTCTGCCTTCCAGCGGTGGCTTCAGTTCCAGCGCTGCCGGGGAGGTCTCTGACGAGCCGAGGGATTCATTTGATTTTCAGGCTTACTAACAAGGATGTTATGTAAAATGACGGAGGGATGGTGTTACTGTGCCTGTTACTGTATGTGCTGCGGGCTCAGTGTCATGGCTGCAGCCGGATGGGGGATGATGAATACCACAGTTGTCTGAATTAAACATGAGCTTTTCACTTAACTTGACACACCGTGAATGATGTTGTTCAGCTGTAGCTGCTGTTTTTAGAACACAGGCTTCTATTTTTAGTCCTGTGTTTCCACTGATTCAGAAAAACTTCTATTCATGCCTGTGCATACGTGTGCTCTCATGTGATCCACACGTGGAGTGGTAGTGGGGGGGGGGGGCAGCTTTGTGAATGACTGGTGGGTGAAGTGAGGTGTAGTGAATGGCAGCAGCTCTGTACAGTACAGTATAGTACATGCAGTACAGTATAGTACATGTACACAAACAGACGTGTCAGGAAGTTATACTAAGGTGTGTGAAGCTTAAACATAAATATGGATTGGTGTTTCTGTATCGATGTTTCAACCAATTCACCTTCACTCCATCCTCAGGCTCGATGCCTCCTCTGGTTTGTGCGATCCAGGCTCTTCCTCGGAGTTTGCACAGTTAAGTTAAGCGTAAAGTGATGATGTCCAAACCTTGGGACCTCATGTTTGTCTTTTCTTTTCAATGTTCACGGATACATTTTTTTTCTTCCTCCTGGTGGCCGCTAATGAAGGAGGAGGTAGAAGAATTTGTTGCTGCCTGCCTTGTTCGTTCGGTCCAACAGTCAGGCTGATGCCTCCTTCGCCTGTGACCTCTGAACCCTCTCCCTATCAGACAGATTTCTAAGATGGTTAATGTGATCCCTCCTGTGTCAGTCACAGTTACAGATGTGTTTCATGTAGTGGGCCTCAGTATTTTTACCAGATCTGATCCTATCTATGAGACACCAACCTCTAATCCAGTGATTCTCAACCATTTTAGGCTTGTGACCCTATTTTGACATATTTACTTCAATCCAATGGTCAAACTGAGTTTTGCAACCTGGCTTCCAAATTCATGAGTGTTTTACCAGTTCATCAATCTGTTGACCGTACGACTGAACCGTCACAGTTCCAGGAGGTTCTACCCCTCATTACCACCAGGACACCTGAGTGGTTCCTTGGTCCAGTGATGTTGACCGGGTCTGCAGAGCAAAAGGCTTTTGGAAAACATTTAAGATCTGGTTCTTACACACACAGATTAAAGGTGCCGTTCAAATGACCTCATCTGTGCTTTTACCACAGGAATCTCAGGCTTCCCCTCTTCACATATGGCAGATGAGAATTTATTTTCTCTTCAAAACCTCAGGAAATGGACTCACATTCTGTCCATTCATGAAAACCATATTTCAAATCCAAAAATCCTATTTTTGTAATGTGACATGAGAAAAGAAAACGTGCCTCGACAGACGTGTTATTAAGTAGAACAATACGGTAAAATGGGTCGCACGCTGAGGGAATGGAAACAGTGTAGACGTGAAGGATTCTTTTGTGAGTTCACTCTCACACTCAGCCTGGTCCTGACCTCCTGTCACTGTACTGGCTGTATGGGAGCATTCATGCTGGAGGTGTTATGTCTGCACTGAAACAGTGTTAATGAGAGGTTCACCTTGATTTAACACAGAGAAATGTATAAATAGTAATATTAAAATCAGGAGTTCACTTTCTGGCCCAATACAAATAGGAACATTGAGATTTTTTTTTATTTGGCAGGCATGATTACAAACAAAAATATTGTTTACTTCTCTAACTGTGATACTAGAAAGTGTTTAAATCTGAACTGGAGGAAGTTTTTCCATTTATGTTAAATACTCATTCTAAAGATCGTCCTGAAATTAGTTGTAAGTTTTATATATCTTTTTTTTTAGTCACCCATGAATTACTGTGCTCTTATAAATTCAACTTTACCCTGATATCCTAAAGACCTAAATATGAGTGTACTGTTTTATAATCCCTCGACCAGTGTTCTCTCTTCTTTGCTTGGTAGCTTTTTTAAGATAGGCTAGGCTAGATTTTCTTTTAAATAATCACATCTTATAAATGATCATTAGTTTAAATGTCTACCTAATTTATTATTATTTTATTATTTCAGTTTTCGTTTAAATGTCTACCTAATTTATTATTTTATTATTATTTTATTATTTCAGTTTTGATCTTTTTCTGTATAAGTTTTTACCTAGTGCTGCTTCATGCGTCTCCATTAAAGCATCTGTTTGTGCTGCATTGTTTATGAGGATTGTTGATTCTGTGGTCTGTTGGTACTTGGTTTTATTATTTACCTCGAGTGCTTCGACCGACGATGGATGTATCACTTCCCGTCTGGTGGTTTTGCTTTGCAAAGCTTCTTCCCATAAATGAACAAAGCATGCAAATTGCATTGCATCATTTCTGTTTCAGGGAAGGGGACAGAGTTTGGGTGGAGACGGTGGGAGCAACTTCAGGATCTACTGAAGATTCCCACTGGAGCTTTGAGCTGCACATACAGTAGTGTAACCGTCAGTGTGGCTTTTACCATTTTCAGCTTCCTTCTGCTGAATACGTCTTTAACCACGGATCTCAATGTCACCTGTAACCACCAGTCAATACAGACCATGGTGTGACCTCATCCGTGACCCTGTCCATCACAGTTAAAAAAAACTGAAACCGCACTCCTACCCTGAGCTCTTTTGTCACTCTGACAACACACCTCGACATCACACCTCTATACCGTCCTCCTGTTGTTCTTATACAATACATGGCATGTCCTGTATTACCTTCAAAGCACCTCGTGTTTTGAAGTCTCTAACCCAGTTATTCTCTCGTCATATCATGTCTCTGGTATTCTGTCCTGGAATTCAGCACAAGCTCTCGCAGTAACCCTGCTCTAACAAGTCTGAATGGTTTTAAACCAAATGTAGAGTAACCTGCATGTACAAATTACAAATGACTTTTATTCCAGGAAAGTGGTAATGCATCTTGCATAATGCAAGAAATAAATATATATACACACATATATGTGTATATATATGTACCCATATGTGTATATATGTGTCTGTATATATATATAGATATATATATATATACACAACGTAACCTTCAGACAGTATTTAGGTGTAGTAGCAGAGTCTCCACTACATCCTATCATTAAAGAGAATCCATTATTTCATCAGCCACAGTTGATGGTGGAACTGCCCCCCTTTGTGAAAACGGCATGTGGTAGCCTTAGACAAAATGAAATGATGTTCCTGATACCATCACGTTGCGACAACTGGTCAGCTGCAACTCCTCCTTTTCAACCACAAATGCTTGCGATCCATTCATTGATAATGGTGCCAATAGGTTTCCTCACTGAGTGAAGTATTTCTACAATATGTCCACATTTAGCTAATGAAACTCTGACAGAAGGCCTGTTTAAACACCATCAATACTGTACAGTGTGCCAATCTGTCATCGTGACCCTGGGGTCAAAGGCCATCAGACCAGATTTTTAAAAAGTGCCTCATTGATTTGTGCCTGATCTGATCTCTAAGTTAAACCGGCCTGTAATAACAGGAAAGAGCAGGGAAGGTTAGAAGACTTGGGACTGCAGCAGGTAAAATGTCACAGTGTTCTGGTGTGTGTGTGTGTGTTGTAGCCTGTGGGAAGAAGTGTGTGGACAAAGAGTAGGAACAGTCCAGGGATTCTCACATCCACACTGGCTGAGTCAAATGCTGACAGCAAACAATACGTTGGAGTCAAACTGACACTGTAGCTTTTTTTTTCATTAGCATTCCTTGGAACTAACATTAGTATAAAACGCTGCAGTGAATGTTAACAACACGCAGTGATCGTCCTAAGAGAGGTATCTCCGTGGCACACCCAGTTAAACACACAAACAACTGTAGAGGTGAGGGCCAGCCCAGTTCTAGTTCAACCAGAGAATCCACCAGCAGCCTCCTGGGAGAGAGGAGGATTTATGGGATGTAGGTGGATGCTCCATGTGGTGCTCTCTCCCACCAGCACCAAGCATGAAATATGATGAAATATGATGCAAACATTGTTATTTTGGAATAAGGGTTGTTCCATCTGTCAATGGTCGACTGCTAAATCTCAAAGTTGGCCGTAGGAGCTGAAGCCAGTCATCCAGGTTCTCACCATAAGGTTCACCAGTCTGTCAGAGGTCCACATACAGAGATTAACAGCCGTTCACACTTACATTCACACCTATGGTCAATTTACTGTTCCTCTTTACTGAGTCTGGAGAAGTAGAGAACGAGGAACCCATGTAGTGATGAAAAATAAATACATTTAACATCCAATAAAAGTTAGTCAGATTATATATCTAATATATTTATATACTGAACTGGACATATCTGTAACCACTACTGAAGTTGTGTGTGTGTGTGTGTTAAAGGATATTGTTTTTATTTGATTTCACTTTTGGGTTATTTCAGATAATTTTATATCTATAACACCCAGAAAATTAAAGATAATTCATGTCAATTCACTACAAAGAAACTTAACACCACATAATAACAACGTAACACCATGTGATGACTGGTTTCATAAATCTACAGTTCACATTTATCTCTTAAACCTTTTTTCAGGGATCTTTGAGCTCCACCTTGTGGTTAGAAGATTGAAGCGTAGCACAAACGTCTGGCCAATTAATGGTCATAAACTAAAACAAAACTTTTACTTAAATTATTTTTCCCACTTTAGGAATTACATTGTCATTTATAATGTCAACTATTTGTATTTATCTGTATTTAATTTAACACCTTCATTATCTCCCCAGGGACTAGACAAAAATTGTAAATTAAGGCACTCCTCTCTCCAATTATGAATAAATCTAACAAACAGTTAAATGCCCAAGACGATTTGTCATCAAATTAAGCTTTGAACCAAACCAAGGTTGAGCTCTTACAAGCAGGTTTAATACTTTTCATACAAAATAAACCAGAGATAAGTAGACAAAGGGACAAATTCTTGTCTTAAAGGAATGCATTCTCCTGCCACACGAGGGCGCCGTCATCAACAGCTTCTACCAAACCCAGTTTTACACTTCAGAGGTTCAAAGGGAACATAATTTATTACATGTATATTCAATCGTCAAGGTCATTCACAAAATATCTGAACTGACTCCAACCCCAGAGGATGACGTAGGAACTGCAGCGTACAAAACCATAGGCATTAGGAGACGTCCATAGCAGATGTTTCTGAAAGGCAAGAAATGAGCACAAAAAGGATATTGTTACAATGACAATTCACACAATAAATGTTTGATATTGAATAACATTTAAGGCAAAATTAAGTCTGATAATATATCTGTTACATACAATGGTAAGTTAAAAGGTTCTAATACAAGATTATAATATATCTGTTACATACAAGGGTAAGTTAAAAGGTTCTAATACAAGATATTTCAAAGGGAGCGTAATAAAATAAGATTATGGACATTTACAATAGTCTTTTACAAACTTACGTGTTTCGTTAAAGAGGAATGAATCCTGATACTCTTTCATGTACTGAGAGGATCTGGCTTCATCCAAGAACAGAGAATAGACTCTTTTAATGTCGTCCACCTGCACTTCTGTCCCCTGAAAATGCCAGAAGACAAAGATGCCATCAATACTCAGGGAGGGGGAGGGAGACTTTTTGCTGTTGTTGTTAAAGCAGCCATTCTGTTTACTGTTCTGACTGAGCTCACCTTGCGTTTGCGACACACCAGTCCTGCAGTACTGATCAGCTGAATGGCATAACGCAGCGACGTCTCCATGCCGATACGAGTCAGGACAGTGTGAGCTTCTTCACTCAACTCTACATCCTCCTCTTCACACCTTTATTGGGGGGGAAAAGAACAACACTAAAGTTAATGAAAATAGAGATGAAAATGAAAACAAATTAAAAATATTTGAAGGGTGATTAGGGCAGGGGTCTCACCTGATCTTGAGGACCTGTCTGGTCTCTTTTTCAGTGTATGGAGAGGTTGTGATGATGAGCAGGCGATCCAGCAGGTCGATGGGGATCCCATGAGGACTCTGGTAGTTTGTGCCACGGATACTAAACCGGATGACATATGGGTAAGTCCAAAGGTTTAAAGACTTTTTTCTTTAGAAAATTATCTGATTTTCAAAAAACTACATGTTCAGACATGAATCTCAGACACGTCTAACAGCTTCAGACCAGACCTCAAATTGTTTTGAAATCAGACAAAAATAAATCAACCTGAACAGAGAACTGTTTTTTTATTGAAGGTTTGTTGCAGGTTTCCATCTGGCTCAATTTAAATTAATATTCTCCACCTACCGGGTAATGCCTCTGTTGGTGGCCATAATGAGAACAGGGGACAGGTCACTCTCGAGTGCACGGTTCAGGAAGGAGAAGCACTCCATGTCCAACATATGGACCTCGTCAATAAACAACACCTGGATCCACAGTTAGAAAATCAGTGGTGTGCAAATCAGAAGCATCTTAAATACACATTACACAGAGTTTTACTTACTCCTGGAATGATCTCCGCTTTCCCCTCTTCCCTCCACTCACAGACTTTGGCATTAATTTGCTCACGGACTTCAGACTTGATCTCTCCGGTGTCTCCAGAGAACAGTGCCAGGAAGCCTTGTGTCCGACTGTTGATGACGTCGATCTCATGGAGGGACACAGTGTGGACGACCTCTTTTCTCTTTTGTAACTCTCCCTCCGGACACTGTACAAACTGAGTCTATAGAGATAGAAAAGAAACTGTCACTCAGTAAATCTGCTGTTAAAAACAGGACTAATCCCCGAAATAAAATCATTATCGATAATTTCAACAGCACTAAAAAATAAAGGGCAAATGCAGAAAATGATGTCATTGTACTGTACCTGAGCTCCCATGGCATCATAGTCTCTGGCTCTGGTGAAAGAGCGGCCCAGCTTGCTTATCTTTCCAGTGGCTTTGTCAATGGTAATGACATCTCTACAAGACACAGAGAATACGCTTTAATCACACACAACTGTCCAACAGACCTGGAGGTTAGAAAAAAAAAAACCCATCTAGCAACATACCCAGCTTGAACCTTCTCCTTACTGAGGCTGTCAATCATCTTGTTGCCCAGGTCGTATATTGTCTCCATCTCAGTGGTCTTTAAAGTCAGCTTCCCGACTTTAGCGCCCTGGTAGAGCACAAAGTGTTTCAGCAAATTAACTATAACAAACCAAACCAATCAGGGTCTGAACACCACTGAAGTATTCAGTTGACAAAAAGCCCACAACCATGAAAGCAGCATACCGTTCCAGTAGCTGGCCTATCAATCTGGATTTCCACAACTTCACCTTCAATAATCTCAGTCTCCTCTCTGTAAAACAAAACAATAAATAGAAATGTGTTTTAAATAGCAGTCTACTGAATCCATATTTACAAAACATTACAAGTCAAAGATTTTCATTTGTGTAGTTAGCCTTCAGATAATTTAAAATTTTAAAAGCCAAGGTCTATAAATAGACTTTGGCATTAACACTCACTTGATCCTGACTCCGATGGCCTTTCTAAAAGCTTGACTCAGCGCCTCAGTTTTGCTCATCTCCAGGGAGTATATCTCACTACTGGCCATGGCTGTGAAGGGCGTATCAGGGCCGAGAGACTGGGCGATGCCTGCAAATGGGAAAGTTTTAATAGTTTTAATGATAATTATAATTGTAAACATATATTTTAGGAAAGGACTGTGGGGTTTTAAAAATCTTCATTTCATTCTGTCATCCTTACCCATAGCAATGGCGGTCTTCCCTGTGCCAGGTTGTCCAGCAATCAGAACGGCCCTGCCTGCAATTTGTCCATCTTTGATCATCTCCAGAACAACTCCTGCGGCTCGACGGGACGCCAGCTGACCCACCATACCCTGGGACACCTGCAGGTGATGACAAATAAGACATTCTTAAATTCAAACTCAAAAGAACAAATTCCATTGTGGAGTAATGGTTTAAATGTGACTAAATACAGTTAATTATTTCACCCATACCTGTCTTGGTTCCAAAGCATCATCCAAACCAAGACCACGGATATGAGAGTGTGCACCTTTACACAGAACAGAACAGAAGGGAACACATTAACTAAAGTTGGATTTAGAATAAAGCAAAAAATATAATTTTTATCATTGTCCAAATAAAGGTACACCTCTGGGTATTTTTGCAGTTAGTACCTCATAATACATATATGCAGTAGGCAGATAGAATACATTCTCACCAATTCTCTCAATCCGCATTATGTCGCGAACCTCTGGAACCTTAGTAGTCGCCATCTGACAAGGTAACAGAACAGTTAACAGGTGCCTTAACAAAGAAATAAAATAATTAGTTAATTAGTGCTATTGGCACTGTCTCATAGTTCTTCTACCTCTATACACTGTCTCATAGTTCTAGCTATTCGCTGTTGGTTAATGAAATTAAAACAGAAATGTTTTTTTCGTTCAAAATCACATTAACAAAATTTAACTAATCAAGATTAAGACATGAGTCAATAACAAAAACACTTCCTGAAATCATAAGAACAGTTGTCTTACGATTTTTCTTTTTTTCCTTCTTAATGTTTAAGGTTCTCTTTCCTCATAATGTTCTGAGCATTTTGGTTATTTTTGCTTCCAGCAGACTTGCAAACTGCTCACCATGTTTTAAAGCTCCTCTTCACACTGTTTACTTTAAAGGATCAAAGACTTCAATCTTAATCCTTCTTCTAATTTTATTAAATTAAAACATTAAATATTTTCTACAGTGCATACATATTGCCATGATTTATAATAATTTATAACTTTAATAAAAGCATCCTTTAAAATTGTTGACAAATTATAAAAAAATGAAAATAATCTTCTACAGAATTATTTAGAAGCTGAAGCTAAAGAAATTGAAAATTAAACTACAGAAAATGAATTTTTTGAATGCGACAAATGATAAAGTGGTGTAGCATTGCTCTGGATTTGACAACTTTAAACATTTATTTTGATATTGTTATTATTTCTTCTTGTGCTAATGACGTGTTGTTTTGAATAACTGTGAGGTACATTACCATAGCACCATTAACGAAACTAGTTAAACGCACCAAAGCTGAAACTATGACCTGTCCAGTCGGTTGTCATAGTTACAAACTAAACACATCGATTAAAAGTTTATCTGCTGTGAGTGAATATGTAAAACTTTTCTTAGCATACCAGGGATTTACAAATAGTTCTAATTGTTCTTGTTATACGTCTTTTTAAACTCAGTACCATTAAAACCTGCATCTCACCAAAAGCACTGGTTCATAAAACAATATGCTATTGCTAGGTAATATTGTGTTAGCACGCAGGCTAACTCCATTCATGTTTGTGTTTTACAACTTCTCTTAAATCCCGATTATATCTTGTTTCCAATTAGTAAACTAAGCACCGGGCGATATGAAAATGCGACAATCAAAAAAGCGCAAACGTGATTCAGTTAGTTGTGTGAATATGGCCTTACCTCTGCAGTCACACTAGTAAAATGTGAGAATGCGGCGCTTCTTTCCGAAGGTGCAGAAGGTAAATGCGTCCGGAGGGAAACAACGCAAACTGAGAGCTATTTCCCCTGTAATCATGGCCGCCACGGAAATAACGATTCTCTAATTCTGAATCTGAATTCGTATTTACACAGCAGGTAAAAAATAATATTGACTTAGTATTTTGAATTACGAATGGTGCTTTTTGGTTTTCTATTCATCTTAAGTATTTTTAAATACAAAATAAAATACACTATCCGTAAACTAAATAAATAAAGTAAAATTATATGCTTATGTTAGCCATACCAGTATTTTTTCGCAAATGATTTGACTGATACCTAATCTCGTAAAGTGTCTTTAGATTTCAATGTCTCTAAACCTTTTACCTTTTGTTAATGGTGGCAGGCTTTGACACCACTTAACGCATTTTTCCACTAGAGGGCACATGGATTCTTAGGATTTTAACAGCGTTGGCTTTTACTTTAACTATAGGTCAAAGTTACCTTTCCCCTACATTCGTACAACAGGAAACATATTGGCTGCAAAATGTCGACCTAAGTTCTACGGTATTTATCCTGTCATGTTTTTAGTGTTTGTTGGACAGATTTATCTCATATAAAGCAACAAGATTATAAGTTATTAATAGGGGGATAAACCTATGCTTATCACTGTAGGATGCAGCAGCAATAATCAGAAATTTGCCAGTCCATTAATGAAATTGGGATAAAAACGTTTGTTCTAGTAAGTCTATAAAGCCTTTTATGTAGTTGGAGTCTGAAGATCAGACAGTCTCTCATTCTTTGATGATATCTGGGGAAAATTGAAGAATATACTGGCGTCATGTTTGCAAAGAGAACTTTTTCGTATCCTCTTTATTACATTTTTCTGGTTTCCCCCCAAGGTTGCAGTTTTAGGATTCCAGCACTATAACCTACTGCACTCACACAATGGCAGGTCTGTAATACTGAAAGTTTCAATACGTAACAAAACTGATACAGTTGTGATGTTAAATTGTGATGTTTGAATTACATTCAAACAACACCTTTAGTTATACATTATGGCTTCCAGTGACTGTAACAGCTCAATGGTCTCCATGCATAAAGTTTGTTTAGGATGATAAGGTGAAACCTTTAATGACTAACTGGATGATTGTAATCTTTACTGTCACACCAGGCCATTCCTTATTTGAGCACAGCACAAAGACGTAAAACTGCAGCTTAATGAGTTTCAACAGTGCACAAACATCGGAGCTTCTGGTATCACGTCACCCACTCCAGATAAGATCCTCCCAAATCTCTGACTTCTGTAAAAAATTAATTTCCAGGTTCCATCAAAGCATGAGTCACCACACATCCACTCACTGTCTTTAATATTTATTCATTATATATGACTGCTACACCGTAATTGCCAACAATTGCCATTCTTTAGACAAACGTGTGTGATGAGAAGAGAACAAAGATGTGATAATGTTCCTGAGAAAAAAAGGTTTATTTATGTTAAATCGGGGGTATAGCCCCCCGATAGTCAATAAGTGAATAACCTTTTTGTAACAAAAACACACACACAGCAGGGTAAATACTTGTTCAAAGTTTATTAATGAAAAAAATTGTTAAAAAGCACTTCATTGCCTCAAAAGTGGTCAGTTGACATTTCAATAAGTGAATAACCTTTTTGTAACAGATTAATTTGAAGAATATTCACAGTCATTACAAAAAATCCCCTGATTATAATCCATGTGTTGTAGTTATATAAATCCTTCAGAAAAAAATATAGTATGTACCTTCAAAGATGTTATAGCTTTGTTCTAAATATTCACAATAATACGCAATCAATGTTGTACATCAATTAGCAGAAGTCTGATTTTTTCTTTTTTTTTTTTACAGCTGTATGAGAGCGATGGCCGACTCATACCAAACCCAGAAGCCTGGATAGACTGGTTCACTAAAGGAGGTCTTGAAGCGATGGATGAGAGATATAGAGTCTCCCACGGCGTAGAAAGAGAGAGTACCGCCAGCATGGTCAAGGAACACACCGATGCGGGAGGAATACGGTGCTTTGATCTCTATTTGGTCTTTATTGTGACGGGCTGAGTAGCTGGAGTCGGAGCAGAAGAGGCTCCAGGACTTGCGGTTGTATCCAATGCGGCAGCTGTCTCCGTAACCGGTCCTCTTAATGCCTTTGTATGTGACACCAATGGCAGCTCCCTCCCCGCTCCAGTCAGCCTCCCAGTAGTATGCACCACCAGAGAGGGGTTCTTTACACAGGACTTGGGGCAGGGAGTCAAACCTGGCAGGGCTGTCACTGAAGTTCTGGGGGTCTCTCTTTAGGACAGCTTTCCGGTTTCCTCTGGACAAGTACAGCTGTCTGTAGGCTGTGTTTGAATCCAGAGTTAGCTGGCAAGCATCTGGAAGGAAACATAGGATTTAGTTTAGATTTTTGTCTAATATACTGTAAATGAAGAAGAATGAGATTGTGCCAGACTCTTTGACAGTAGCTAAAGAGAAACCATCACCTCTTCACCACCAGCTGCAGGTTGCAGATGTTAGCAGAATTTTTAGTTTTTAGGTGTGATCAAATGTCGGCAACAGTGTCACATTAAAAGAAAAGTGGGAAACATTCTGGCTGAACACACAGAATATATCCCAGGGGTTAGATGTCACCTGCCTGCTGTCTGCAGGTCACAGCTGGTGGGCCACCCGGTGGCCTCGGCTAGATCTGCCCGGCCTATTATCTGGAATGCCAGAGGTATCAACACTGTTTGTAAGTTTGACGACTCACAAAGGTGCAGCTAACAAGGAGCGTTTGTATAGCAAAGTGAGGTACCCAAGACCTTTTAGCTTCAAAGTTAAGCACATTTCCCCTGTCAAACATGTAATATCACTTTAAACAGCCAATAACATAATTACACAACACTATTACACTGTGATTTATAATGATTGAAGGCTAATCTGTGTCCATACTGTGGAACACGCAGCAGTTCCTCAGTGTGACTTTTTGGTCGGCCACAGGGTCTGACTTCAGCAACATCAAACAGCCTCATGCAGTGAACTGAACAGTGAGAGCACTGAAGTGCAGTGACAGGAAACAGTCTTAGAAAGGCTGAGACTCACATTTCAGGAAATCCTCCCTGTACTGAGGTTCCTGCACTGGCACCGACTTGTACATGGCAGCTTCATCGCCTACAAGAGGAAACGTGGACATTTGCAGATAGTCAGTGAAAGTCTGTGTTATACAGATTTAATACTTGTAGCTGGACTGCATGGAACAACACAACTGTATAATAAACGTTTTAAACACACTGGTAATTCAGATACAGCCACTGTTATACTGTCCAGAGAGGGCGATCTTAAACATTTACATTTATGCAGTTAGCAGAGAAAAAAAACAGAGAAATATGTTCATAAAACACTAGTCAGTGTAAACTTTCAACATGGAGGTAGATGTGTAACGTCTAATAAACATAAACATTAAATACAATTGGAAAAAGGCTTTTAAGTTTATTCAAAATGGTAAATGAATGTGACTTTTTTTCACTGCTTTGTGTTAAAAACAAAAAACACTTTTTATCATTATTATTATTATTTAGTATTATGAGCATATTTCTACCACATTTAACTGATTAGGATAGAAAAATCCCTGATCTTTTTACCTAATCAGTTGACTTACTTTTTATTGATCGTCTCTTTTTGGATTCATCCAGCTGACAGAAGGTCATTTTGTTAACTGTGAAAAGAAAATAAACAAGTCAAAATAATCACAGTAACAATACAATAGGCCAAAACCTAAATAAATGGTATCATTTTTCTAACCAAGCTCCGTACTCACCTGTCTTGGCGACCTTGACCAGCTCATCGTTGCTAAATTCATTCAAGTGCTGTTTCATCTCAGACACAGCTTTGTTCACTGGGCCAAAGGAGAAGTAGGGGTTGACACTGACTGTGGGCAACTCCTCCGCCTCCGTCTGAGCTATAAGCATGTGGTAGGTCTGTAAAAAGAATGATCACGTGTGAAGCTTTATAATCACTGTACATTAACTCTTCAGGAAGGTTGCTGTGATGCAGAGTGTACGTTTCACGGCCGTCAGTTACCTGGATGAAGTGGATGTGGTCTTCAGTGCGGGACAGCTGAGTGATCTCATTGTCTCTCCTCTTCAGGTCAGCTATCTCATGAGTCAGCCGCTCCAAGTGGCCTTCTGCGTTGTTCAGCGCGGCTCTCTTGTTGGAGGAGATGAGCTTGGCCATCTCCTGCTGCATCCTTTCGATGGAGCGCATCATGTCACTGAACATCTTCTCACATTCCTGCAGTGCTCTCTGCGCCGAGTTCTGCTCGAGGGAAATGGAGGTATGCAATAAATCAAATTGGTGTCACACTGGTTTGTCAAGCTCACTGAGGGAAAACTGTCATCACCACTACATGC